AAGGAAGGGAGGGAGGAAGGAAGGAAGGAAGGAAGGAAGGAAGGAAGGAAGGAAGGAAGGAAGGAAGGAGAGAAATAGCCCCATGTTCTTGGTTTTCTAAAATAGGTCAAATATTATTTCTTTTATGAAACAGGAGTTTGTCTTAGATATAGAATTTAAGCTTGAGCATCAAGAGAGGGTGAGAGACATGTACAAGAGCGGCAGCCATGAGCACGTGGTAATAATCTCCGGCTTCTCATGAGACCGCCTCAAATATAGCTGTGAAAAAGAAAAAAAAATAAACTGGATATCTCAAGACTAGGAGAAATACCCCAAGTACTTAATATAGATGGTCTCATCTCTTTAAAATGCCCATCAGTACCATGTGTCAGCTTGCAACTGGCATGCTGAATCAGGTAGCTCTACCACCACAAATACCAATGAGCAGAGACAGAAACTCAGTCTTTTAACAGTGTTTTATTTAGAGACCTGGCAATCTGAGAAATCAGTGGATTAACACCCTAAAAAAATCCTGCCTTCTAGCTCATCAGCCAGCAGATTATGTAGGGAGACTCAGGAGGCTGGAGAAACAAAGGCAGTCAGGCATTCTGGAGCTCGATCTTGGCCCTCTGATCAAGTTATGTCTCTGAGACTTGTGATGTCCAGCTCTCATTATCACCCCTTTCACTCCTCCCTTGTTCTCTGGGTGGGTGGGCTCAGGCACTTCCCAAATTACTGAGTCTAGTTACACTGTACACTGATATCAATTTGTACTCCTCCAGGGGCATCTGGGATGGAGGAGGGTTGAATCAAAACCAACACACCATGAGCAGTGTTGGTGCTGAGCTATTAATGTGTATGTGCTGACTCCAGCCTCCAATACGGAATCTAGCCTTCCCTCCATCTGCTACCAGGACCTGGGGGAGAAAAGGAAAGCGCGTGGTGAGATGGCCTACCGACCCTTCCATTCTATCACCTTTCACGAAGCTGCGGATGGAAGGCCTAGAGTTAAGTCCTGTGTCTGGTTCCGCCTTCACTATCAGCAAGCGTGCCAGCACACGATGTCAGGGCAAAGGAAGTGAGTAATGGAATGGCTGCCACTGAAGAACTGAATGACCTCCATCTGAAGATACTCTGCAGCCTTGACGCCTTCAGTAACTGTATCTGGTAACAGGTCAAACCCTCGGTGCGGTACATCATAAGGTCACGTGTCTCAATGCAGAACACAGCTCTCATCTCGAAGGGAGTAAGAGACAGTTTATTCCGGAGACAAATACGAATGGCTATTTCCCAGGAACACTGATTCCAGTTGCCCAAGTTTCCGACACGGAAACACCTCATGAAGGTTTTATAGTTACAGAACAGAAGAAAGACATAAGTCAAAGGATTTTTTAAAATACCTTAATGGAGACGTCAGGTTGACAAGGTTACAGTGAAACAAAGAAATCTGCCCTGGGCCTGAGATGCTGTTTGAAGAGATACTTAGCTCTTGGATGGGTGGGAGCTGGCCACCGGCTAACATCCTAAAATGGCTTACTTGATGGTCGCAAGGATGTTCGGTGGGACACAGAGGTGGGACACCAATGACAATTAAGAAGCTAAAGACAGTCCAAGATAAAATGCCTTGATCCGAAACAGTCCAGCTCTCCACAACCATGGTATTCAGTCTTCAATAGCGGGGTGGGGGTGGCGGTGGGGGGAGATAGAAGTTAGGCCTTATTTTATTTTGGGGTTTTTGTCAAATTCATGTTGTTGAGCCACTCCATTGGAGACCAGTGCGTAGTGAGGTTCCAGAAAGCTACATTTTTTTAATGTTGTTTCATATGCATTTTTAATTAAAAAATAATTACCTCTCTTCCCCCTTCCCATTCTACCTCCAGATCTTCCCATAACCCCTCCACTCTCAAATGGATGGCCTTTTTCTTTGATTATTATGGTTACATAGTGTATTTGTGTGCACAAAGACCTAAGCGCGACCTGCTGAGTCCATTTTTGCTGTCTGTGTTCATATGGTTCCAGACCTGACCATTTTGTATTGAATACCAATCAGGGGACTCATTCTGGAACTTACTGCATATCCAATACTGGCCTCAGACTCATAATCCTCCTTTCTCCGCTTCCCAAATACTGGCCTTACAGCTGTTATCATTGAGTCCAGCTTCATCCCCTTAGTCTAAATGCAGCCACATGGCTCCCATGGGCCAAGGACTATACTGAACACTCCCAGCATCCCAGTTGCCCTACAGAACAGTCATGACGTGGTCTCCTCGGGGCCAACAAGGAGGCTTCTCAGAAAGGCAGGTGCCTGGCTCCTCTTGTCAACTGTTACATCGTCTACTCCTAGTGTGAGAGTTATCGGTAGAGACTCTCCCCAAGACCACCATTCCAGATGGGGGAGACCCGAGCACGGAAGCAGAGCCTGTTATGTGGGCAAGGGTGAGGAAAACTTCAACAGAAGCCACAAAGAGCTTGTGTTCACTAAAACTGCTTACCTTACCTTCTTCAGGCCAGGCCACTGCCCCTGGCTCTGCTCATCTCTGACTCCAGATCCTCGGCACAATGGTCTGACCCTCCCTGCTCCTCTGCTGCCCCACAGGCCTGATACAGCCTCAGTGACAACCTCTGCCGTCAGGATTTGCTCGCTCTGTCAGAATCTTGAACTGTCTTCCTCCTCAGACTGTGAGTCCTTGGGAGGCAGCAGAGACATGACTTATCACCAGTAATTAAGTTAATGAATTTTGAATGAATGAAGAAATGAATTCAGATAATGGGACTGGAGTCTCCTGACCTGCTTCATATCATATGAGATGCACTGGGACTCATCTAAACATTATGTCTCTTTTTCTACAATACTTTTCTAAGCCTTAGGGGTATTTCCATTTTAAAATGTGTCCCCTGTAAAAGTCAGCTGACATCATGGGAGAAATTAGTGTAGACATCTTAAAAGGAATAGAATATAAAGACAGAGGAAGACAAACGATAAAACCAGAAACAGAGAAGAGAGAACATACACATATTCAGAGAGAGACACAGAGACAGAGAGCAGAGAGACAACAAAGAGAGATGGCCACAGTGCGGATGTAGCTCATTTGGTAGAGGGTCTGCCTAGCACTCAGAAAACCCTGGGTCCAGTTCCCAGCACCACATCAACCAGTCTTGATGGCATACTCCTGTGAGCCCAGGACTCAGGAGGTGGAGGCAGAAGAATGAGGATTCAAAGTCATATTTAGCTACCTAGTGTATGTGAGGCCAGCCTAACCCACGTGAGATAAGAGAGGAGGGAGACAGGGAGGGAGAGGGTGGGGGCTGTTTCTTGCTTCAGGTTATCACAGAGAAATGGTCCAGGAGTGGGACTCTTGTCTGGCATGAAGAACATCAGAGGCCTGCACTCAAAGTACCCGCGTGGTTCACAGCCATGCACATTGCTCCTGAACTCCAAACAACACAGAACAGTCAAAACCAACTAATTCATGTCAAGACCCCAGACAAGTTTGAGGCCTCTCATGCCTGCGGCATGGATGCTGGAAGATACACAATCCAAGGTGAAGAACAGGTCATCCCTCACAGCTGGGGTTTCTGCAGGTTTTGCCATGGACATGAATAATATGTGAAGTTCCACATCCTACCCATGTCTGCAGCCAATTGTGTTACAGAACACTGACCTCAGAGCCCAAAGCATTTATCCAGCACACTGGCCTTTCTTCCTCCAAATGTGTTATCATTAAATGGGAAAGCTAGTGTGCTATTCTCTTGTTCTGAGGGGTATCATTTCTGTCTTCCAAAGCTGTATTCATTACACAAAAATCCTTGATTAGTTAAACAGGAACATTGCAGTCATCAGGTCTCTCACATTGGGAACCAATGAATAACCATCTTCCAGTGATGGAGGTCATTCTCATTGACTCAGTCACCAATGTGCTGGAGACACATGTGAGCAAGGCCCACCATAGTTCCTGACTGCTGAGCACCTGTAACAGAGGGGAGTGACCATCAACCCATGGCTTTCATAAGTGCAGGGAAAATGACAGCAGCAATGAAGACCCTCCAAGAACTAGTCAGTCACAATAGAGGGATGTTCCATAGAAGGTTCTAGAAAGGTATAACATGGGTGGACTTGAGATAGTTAGGAAAAGCAAGTATTGATATATGACTGATACATGAAGGATGATTCAAAATGGATGAGAGAGAAAAGCAGGGCAAGAGAGTCCCAGACAGACAGACTAGAGGCAGTAGAGTTCTGGGACAGGAACAAGCATGTCACC